CATATCAGAGGAATACCATGCACATCGACTATTTGTAGTACTTCGAACAGAAGTCTATGATCCACTGTGTCGAATGCCTTCCTTAAGTCTAGGGATAGAAACACACAATTTAAACCATTGTCAAAATTATCTAGCATGTTTGTAATTAACAGGAATTGACAGGAAATGACATAAACTAACACACAGGAATAAAAAGTGAACAGGCAGGAATCAACAGGCAACAGTCAACACCGAAAAAACACTGAGAAAGAATCAAAATCAGAATAATGAAAAGAATTGTCAATACGGAGGGGTTATTTTTGAAAAAAAAACACTTTGATAGCTTGATTTAGATGTAGTTTTAATTAACCAGCAATGAAAATAATCAATGTGAATAAAATATACTTGCCGAGCCACCGCATGTTGCCTCGAAGATGCCTACTCATGGTTGGAGCGGTTTATGAAGAAGACGTTAGATTCCGTCAAAAAATCCGGACCCCACGTATGTTGGACGTTACCAAGTGGACAGGCAGGAATTAACTGTAAAGCAAAACAAATAATTGCCGTCGAGTTTTATAAACATTGCGTAGCCCTTAGCGCGGCGATAAATTTTCTCTTTTATTTTAATCAATAATCTGATGTGTGCTCGGAGAATTGTTGCCGGAGGCTGATTGAGAATTTGCATCCGAACAGCAAGAGTAACTTCTTGGCTCCGGGGTGTTATTGATTGTTTGACTAGCGTTCGCTACCTCTGTGACGATAACAATGTAGTCGCGGCTATGGAAAAAGTTTAAGTAAACCAGTTACTAGAAATTGCAGTCCTAGAAAGCTCATGAGTGTTTCTCGAATAGGCTGAATACTCGCAGAGAAATAATTGAGGTTAGGTGATGGAATTGGCCGATACTTGATGGTATTCAAGTAACACTACACTGTGAAATTTTCACCAAACAGTTCACAAAACCGCAATACGTGTTTCATTATACAATACCTTCCTCAGGCATGGGTATAAACACGCCTGAGTATAAACACGCCTGAGTTAACATGCCTGAGTTAACACGCCCGAGGAAGCTATTGCATAGCTTCCCTGGGCAGTAGCAGGAACCACCTATCAATGGCAGGAATCAGCAGGTAGTAGCAGGAATTACCTGGCCTGCTACAGGAAGTAGCAGGAATTGCAGAACCAGTTACATAACTGAAAAACGTGTTACAATATACAATAGCTTCCTCAGGCGTGTTCAAACTAACACCTCAATAAAAGTCGCCTGAGTTAAGACGCCTAAGGGAGCTATTGTATATTGAAACAAGTGTTGTAGTTTTGTAAACCGTTCAGTGAAAATCCCACAACGAAGTGTCATTTGATAACAGAGAAACTGTAGCGTGTGAACCAAAAAGTTTTTTCAGTGAATGTTATATTTGATTTAGGAATATATGAATATCCGGAACCCACATAAGTTGAACATTACCAAATGGACAGTCAGAAATCAACAACAGACTGGCAGGAAGTAACAGTGGCAGGAATTAAGAGGCAGTGGCGAAAATTGCCACGAAATTGCAGGAATTAACAGGATTTGAAAGTAATAATTAACGGATGGTAGAAGGAATTATCAGACAGAAGCAACAATTGACGGGAATTAACAGGCAGCTGCAGGAATCGACAGGCAATAATCAACAGAAAAGAGGCAGGAATTACCAGGTAGCAATTAACTGTAAAGCACCCAAAAAACGTTTAGAAAGGTTGAACATCAAAATAATAATGATTACCAATTCATACGCTAAAATAACCGGTCGCAACAGGATCTAACAAGCACTAGCAAAAATTACATGGCGGTGGCAGAAATTAATAGGCAGGCAGGAATAATTGAGGTTATGTGATAAAATTGGCGGATACTTGATTGTTTTCAAGTAACACTCCACTGTGAGATTTCCACTAAACAGTTCACAAAACAAAAATAGGTGTTTCACTATACAGAAGCTTCCTCAGGCGTGTTAATACTCATACCTGAATGAAAGACGCCTGAATGTTTCTCTTGGGCGTGTTTATACTCACGCCTGAGAAGAAACACGCCTGAGTTTAAAAATACACCTGAGGAAGCTACGAGTTGTAGTTTTCAAAACCGTTCAGTTGAAATCTCAGAATAAAGTGTTACTCCACATAAGTTATCAAGTGGACAAGCAGAAATCAACAGTAGACGGGCAGGAAGTAATAGTGACAGGAATCAACCGACAGTTGCGAAAATTGACAAGAAGTTGCAGGAATTAACAGGCGTTGGGAGGAATCAATATGCAGCGTAAGCAGTCAATAGACAGAAGCAGTATATCTGTAAACTCCTGCAACAGGTAGTTGCACGAATTTACAGACAAGAATAAAAAGGAGAGAGGCAGGAATTCGCAGTTAGCAATTAACTGTGAAGCACCCAAGAAACGCTGAGAATTATCCGGCAGTGGCAGTTGCAGGAATTGCTGCACCCAAAATACACTTAGTAGAGAATTTTTATTCTTATTATTGTTATTTTTTGGGAAATGTCCGTGTTACAACGTATTTGTGTAGTATATGAGAAAGGAAAGGACTCTTGTACATAATCCACAGATCTTTGTGAAAAGTTCTCGTTTATATTTACAAATTTCTTTTCAAAGTTCTCCACTCTTTTTGAATTGATAAAAAGTCAGAATGTCAATAGTTTTTTCTTTCAAAAAAATATCTCTAGAAAATATTTGTTGGCAATTGAATAAGATTCATAGTTTTCAAAAATCCTCACCTCTTATTATAGTTTTTATAGTTGCTATTGAGCCATGGTGGATAACAAAGATTTGTATAACTATCAATTTTCTGATTGATTTGAATGAGAATGTATGATTGAGTAATCATAATTGAGTATGTATGTGAGGTATATGAAAGTTGAGTAGATGTAGAAATAATTCAGGCTCTGGGTAATTATGATTGAGTATTCACCTGAACAGGTAGTTCTCACTTGTGATTACGTCGGGTATATAAAAGTTAGAGAGAATAATTAGGTTTTCAATATGTTATTCGCTATGAAAAAGGGAAACATGTCATATTTTTAAAATAAAATGTGTAAAGATAATATAGTTTCCTGTGTAGTTTGTGAAAGAATAATTATCACGTAATTCAATTATAATACCATCACCTGTTCAAATAAAGAAAGACAAATTCGTGATTTGATATCGTTCACTGCAATATCCAACTACAAAGGGACTAAACGCCAAATCTACAACTCGTTGTTCGGGAAGAGCATTCTGTGTCGAGGTATTTACTGGCGGTAAAACATGAAAATGGAGCAATCTCCTTTCGAGGATTACGCCGACAAAGAGCCACCTGGGTCCCGAATTCCGCGACCGCACAGAACCGGGCCCAGCTGTTCAGGCAGAGATGATGAAGGTGCTAGATTAATGTGGCTTACCCAACGCGGTGATTGATCTTCCATGAAATATCTCGTTGGCCAGGGGTGCGAGTGGATGACCATGCCTCCGATGCGGGCAAATAATAATAAAAGTGATAATAACAATAACGTGTAAAGATGGTCGTGCTGATTTATTTATCAATTTCTAGTTTACTTCCTTCAAAATAGGCCATCTCAGCAGTTCTGATATGCAGTTTTTGATATGTCATCTTTTCATCTCCTCAATCGTTACAAAACGCCGTCCTTTCATGGGTTTCTTCAATCTTGGTAACAGGAAAAAGTCGCAGGGAGGCAAATCTGGTGAATACGGTGGCTAAGGCATGATTACGGTGTTATTTTTGATCAAAAAATTACGAAACTCGTCAAGATAATACTTCCAATTGATCATTCGACTATGTGGAAAGAACACCTGGTGGACTACGGCACGGTAATCGAAGAATACATTGAAAAAACGACATTTGAACGAACTTGATATGCTTTTTTGGTCTTGGGTATTCTGGGCTCCACCATTGAGACGATTGGACTTCGGTTTCGATATAATAACCATATACCCATGATTGGTCACCATTTTTCGTGTTGAATTAGGAAAGGGGGGTTTACAGCTCGCTTTCTCTCTTTTCATTTAAATTCATTTCTCATGTCCTGTGATATATGACATTTTTGAGTTTGACATGCAACATCGCTGTGTGTCAATCGAGAATATACTTCAGAGTTTAATAATGGAAAAATCCAATTTCATTACTTTAAATATAAAAGATGAAAGTTCCTTATTATGCTATCTTCGTTATCAAGTAAACCAAGATAAATATTTGGTGCAAAAGGTACAAATAGCAAAGAAACTAAAGAATATTCAAAGCACATTTGGGTTGACTATACAATTTCAAAGTTCTCCATAGCCTATTTACCACAGCACTAACAGTACTAACAACAATAATCACCTTGATCAATGTAAATCATTATTTCAAACGTATATATTACCAAAATATTACCTATTCAGTCTATTTCGTTGATTTGTCGTTTCAATCTCCATTAGTGGGTTAGAGGCGACATCTGTGAAGGAGGACCTCCATTTTAAAATAAAAAGTTTCTGATTCTGCCTATGTTACAGATTTCTGTAACACTTCATATAATATCTGACAATTAGTGTAGCTAGTACTCAATAGATGGCAGAGTCAACCTACGGATTTTCACTTGAAATGTTTCTATACTAATAAATGTAATATAAAACGCCCACACAACGGTCAGTTACTGATTATCATCCAAAAAGTCGATGAAACCAAATTTTCTGCTGTAAATATAGCACACTGTAGAAATTCACACTTATAATCAGGCAAATGTGGATAGAACTCATTTTCTATAGTTTACAACGGGTCGAAATGTGTATGTTGTATCATTTGAAAATATTTCTCTTTCGCAGGTAAAGTGATAAGAGATTGAATAAAAAACTAGAAAATAAATATCAATTATTGATTGGTTATTTCAGCGCCATCTTGATTCCAGTGGCCAAAGTGCCAGTCTCAATTTAATAAAAGTAAATGCAACAGCTGCGGTAATATAACTTCTCAATCACAGATGGCACTAAACTTTCTGAAATGAAAAAAATTAAAATTTCATTTTTATTTATTCACAAAGATAACAAAAAGAGAAATATTTAAAAGGAGGTTGTAATGTTAATTCATTGGACATATAAGTAAAGTAGGTATATAAAACTTTCATGAATTTGAACCAATATAAGTACTATGCATATACAACAATTCACAATCAGTAATTTAATGAAGTCATATCATTCCAAAATGATACCAATTTTTACAATTTTAATCCTGGAAATTGTCTATTCCTGATGTAATCTCGATGTTCACTCTCACACATTTTTAATGGTCTTGAAGCTTCACCAATATAACTTCTACCACAAGAACAAGGTACCTATCATTTAAATGTTTGTATGTGTGAGTATGGATCTCAGTGGATTTGTTGCTTTGTTAGAAGTTATAACATCATATCTAGGTATTTCCAATTCGTCTTATCTCTCCAAATAGTCCTGGAATGTGAGATATAACGTTAGTTGTGAAAGGTTTTGTTGGTTGTTGAGTCTACAATCATTACTCTACACTTATTTATTGACGTTTCAGTAAAAACTACAATATAAAAGCAAGAAACAGCGACAAAAGTACAGTCGGTCCGAACCCTTTTAAGTGTTTTGTAAATATTTCTTTCGATGAACTGACACTCTTTTCTTTTTCCACAATTTTCCGAAAGAAAACCCCTCTGGTAAACAATCTCCCGATTGTGCAGTTTTTCTAGACGTGTTTCTCGGCAAACTTTCAACAAAAACCGAAGACTGAAATGGAAATATCAGCCGCTCCACACTAGACAGAGACAGATTGCCTGGCGCTTGCCTCTGGGATATCGCCTTGAAAATTCAAGGGGATAGTTCCTAAGGGAAACCTGTTTTTTAGCGGCGGTCTTTATTGAAAAATATTCCCGTTTTCAGTTCGGGAATAATAGCCCCATATTCGGAAAACGGCATGACATGCGTCTAATTGATATTCGAAAAATATCATTTCAAATTTCTGGTACGCTTTTTGGCCTACTGATTACTATTTCGGGGAAATGCAATTATCGGTAGTTTCGAAATGAAAAATTTTAATAATTATAAACAGAAATAGGATTGTAGAACTCTTTGAAGTTCACGTGTGTTTTAATTTTCATATATGAGGTCTGTTATAGTTTGTTCAGTATTGTCTGAGAGTAAAAGAATTTCAAAAATGCAAACATGTCGCTACATCGAAGAAAGCAACATAGTCGTCACAAGCAAATAGCACTGCAATTCACTCACAAAATCATTGAGATATGTCTACCCTCTATATCCCTTGAGGACGCCGCTAACGAGCTATTAAAACAGGGATATGCGACAAAGAACGCGAAAACAGGAAAACACCGACAAAGAAAGCGAAAATACCGCCAAAAGAACCGCTCGATGTTTTTTCTGATATAACGTTTAAGATAATATTAATAGGAGTCGGACTGGGGGTATTAACATAAATTTTCCATTGATATATTCTGTATGATGAGAAGATGAATAAAATATGGTGAAAACTAATGTTTAAATATTTTATTTTGGGATGGACAGTTCACATTTGAAATAATTTTTATTATTTAGAATTGTTATATTCTATAGATCTATAAAATAATCAGAATAATTAATTTACAAATAAAAACAAATGCAGAAAGGGCAAAAGTTTCTACATTCGATAAATTAGCTTTTTGGAAAAAAAATCAAATTTGTCATTAACTTGAATTTAAAAAATTTTGCATACTAAAAGAAATATGTATCATCTGGTGACGTTTTAAAGACTATATCCATTTTCTTTATCCAACCTATTTAAATCAAAACATTATAATTTGTAGTTATGATTCGTCTTTTGATGTAAATAAATTTGATATTATTATTATCATTGGCACTGATAATATCACAGTGATCGTCGGTATGATAATGAAGATGGATAAAGTACTCGAAACATCACCAGATAAGTATACAAATAAATAGATTTCCGCGGTTAGAAATTTGCACATCTGATTGAACCGCGTTCAAAATTTTGCGTTTCTCGACGTTTCTTATTCGACTTTGACATTTTCAGGAAGGATGGAATTTGTGGTTTTTAAGGATTCTCCATGCGCTCATATGGCTTATTCCGGTCATTGCTGATAAACCTCTGGTACTTAACCTGGGATTGGCGATGACTTGACCAATCACACCAATCGCATTATCGTCATTCACTACCCTTCTCTTAACATTTCTTTTCTTATTTAAAACCGAACCTGTCTCCCTGAATTTTGTGACCAAATACAGAACGTGATTTCTGCTTAGGTGTTTACCGGGGTTTTGCTCGTTAAATAAAGTTGATGTTCTATTAGCATTTGGGTCGTTGCCAAAAAATAAAGCAATAACTGAAACCCTTTCAGCAATAGTGTACCTAAGGCATTTTTAAACAAATAACAGTACACGACCCGTTTAAACAAAACAATCGAACGATGTACTAATGAAAACAGGAAGAAGAGGAGTGGGTATTGATTTTAAAAAAGGGATTTTATTTAACAAAAAACTGATAAGAAGAACTGCTCGACAACTTTTTTATTTAGGCATACATACAAGTTACCGAATGGTCTGTCTGATGTATTATTAACATGGCAATTTTAACTTCAAGTTATCTCGAAAACTAATCGTTACAATTTTTTTTTTAACAGAGTCGTAAAGGTATTCGAAAGACCTTTAAAACAAGGTGCCACTCGACCTACTTTCCCTATCTAAATAAGGGTCGTCGGACGCACCCCTCCGAGGGGGTGCGTTCTACAAAAAATCTGATTAGTCTGAAAGGTGTCCCCCTTTCATAACAATTGTTTTTTCATTTATATTTAATGGTGACAATTTCATACGCTTCACGATTCCCGAACAACTAGCTTCCATGTTGTGTAGCTGTTTATTCAACGCGCTCTCGAAGTAAACTAAAGAATATCACGAATAACCCCGCTAAAAAGCCAAGTCGGTCTTATTGATGTTTTTTCAATCTCCTTCAAGTAAATACCTATTTGTTGGAGAATGTACTAAAAAGCCAAGTCGGTCTTATTGATGGGTGCGATGTGTCTGTTGACAGTATAATTCAAAGGAATATCTATTTATACCGCCTTAAAAAAACAATGTTTATTCAATTCCCTTCAACTAAATATCTATTTGTTGGAGAATGTCTTGGTTACTACTGGACATATTTTAACACTTTTCATTGTAGATTTGTTATTTTCTTTGTTATGAATGATATTTTTCAAGAATAAATATTGTTTTCATTGCAAATTCTCTCGAATTTGCAATGAATTTTATACATAAAATACAAACATTTTTTGTACAACTGTGAATGTGAATTTACATCGTCTGAAATATATTAAAAACAAATACTTTCAATACGTGGTTTTTTGTCCCGATAAGTTATCGCTTTCAAACGACTGTTGTCTTGAAAATATTATTCATTGTTTTCAGTAAGATCGTATTCAAAAATGTTTCCTGTCTGAAAAAAATAAGTTCAAAATAACTAAATAATACTTTTCGCTTCCATACATTTTATCCTTAACGTTACCGTTCTACTTCTTTTTTGATAGAAATAATTAGTGGTAATACTGCTTCGGTCCTTGGAACTATTCCTCATTCACATAATTTTGATGAGATCATGCATTGCCCGCATTCCAGTACGGAACTAAAATCTCTTCGAAACATTCCGAGATATATGGATATTCATCAGTCTCCTATCAAGGTTAATTCGCAAGTGATCAATTTTCTTGTTTTTCTTGGTCAATGGACCCCCAAATATGAGCTTCAGTCCTCGTGGTTCTGGTTACCTTAAAGTGGAAGAGCTTCATGAAGCAAAAGCCGAATCGATCCCTCTACGAAACCCTTCATCGCTTGGAAGGATCGTTCGCAGCTTGAGAAATGGTGCTGATGCAGATTCTGAGAAACATATTCTTCCCTACGAATCATTAGAGAGTTGTCTTGAAAATCTTGAGAAGAAAATTGGATTAGAGGTTCCTACGATGAACGAGAATGTTTCCTACTTATTTACCAAACTCAAACAGTTGTTTATGCAGTTGCAGTTTCGCAAGAATGCATCTTTTCCACCAACCGATTTCCTGGAGTCTTTGAAGTCCACTAGATACTCGTTGGGACAACCAGAGGATTGTTTCGGATTCTTGGGATTCCTGTTGAATACTCTTCGTGCAAAGAAATAGCAGAATCAATACTCCTGACCGCTCTGGATTGAATGTGGCTGCTATCAATTGTCAAATTTCTGAAATCCCAGTTGCAAGACCACATATTTCAATAAATCCCTTCTGATGAAAATAATAAATAGATAATAAAACTTCTCGTATATGGGATCCATTCCAATTGAAAATTCAGTATATGATAAAATTGTTCAACTGGAATTAACTCGTAACGATATTTTCATGATTCCATCCATTTATTATCATAACATGATTCTTTAACTGCTCTAAGATATGCTATATAGAAATGCATAAAGTTACAACATCAACGTCTGGACTTTAAGTGCTTGAAAGATATAAAACATTAAATGGAAAGTTGAATTTTTCTATATTCTGGTATATAAATGCAAATATTTATCGAACATTATTATTATTACTTCATCGGTAGGTGCACGTTGGCTCTGTAGGTGGTACGTAGATAAAGCTTAGTTCATACTGTGAGGATCAAGACTTGTCGAAGTGGATTCAAAAGGAATGGATGTTCAACTTCACAGTAAAGTAAGTTTATTCAGAAAATAAAATTCAATGAGCATTAATTTTTCCTAACGACACATAAAAAACAGAAGCTAACGTATTCCAAAAACACTTTATTGTGAGATTTTCACTAAATTGTTTTACAAAAATGCAACACGTGTTTCGCCATACAATGGCTTCATCTGGCGTGTCTTTCAACTAATTCTACACATTCAATACTAAATATATATATATATATATATATAGTTTATGGAGTACCTGAAATCGAAGTACCTGTAAACGAAGTACCTGTTACCTGAGTTTCTAACGAATTAAATTACCTGCACTTATGTTCCATTTTCACATTTGAAAAAATATATTCAGTAACGGAGAGTTATTGAGTTCTAATTGATCATTCAGTAAATTACCCGAATTCCTGAATCCATTGATTTCTAAACATTCTAGAAGATTAAGTTTCAAACTCTTTTCTTCTAAATGTAACACCTCGTACTCATGATTGAACTCATGTCCTTCTGCTAAAAGATGGTTTGCAAATGTGGAATTGGTCTTTCTATTTACAAAACTACTCCTATGTTCTTTAATTCGTTGGAAAAATATCCTTCCTGTTTGGCCAATATACAGTTTTGGACAAGAGCCACAAGTCAGCTCATATACTCCTGATCTATCCGACACCAAAGTTCAGTTATGGATTTTCATCAAGTATCGGCCGATTCCATCATATATAAAAACATAAGCAATTCATGGGAATCGAAAAAAAGC